GGACACGGAGGACAGAACTCCAGGAGGAAGGAGACCTGTGGCAAAGGGACCGGGTAATGGATGCAGACCTGATGGCCTCTCAACAAACCAGTTCATTCTGCTAATAAATCACTTTTTAAAAAGCAAGTTGAAAGAAAAACTAATAAAACAGCAAGTAAGATTTTCAAATGATCTGAAATCAAAACATAGCCAACCATGCATTATTCTCCTGGTACTGTATTTCCTCACAGCACCCTCACAGTGTCAAGAGCCATAGCATCACGCAAGGGGCTATCTTCAAAGCTGCATTTTGAATTCCGTTCAGAAAGCAAGTAGCTAAACTGCGGAATCAATATTCTAGAAGCAGAAAGGGGCACTTTGAAAGCAGAAATTCCACAATTCTGTAAGGAAAGATTAAAAATTATTCTTCACGGTTGCCAAGCAAGGAAACAGAAATGGGGGAGTCGAGGGGAACGCGACAGTCACATGGCTGCTGCGACACACAGGGTCTCACGTGTCCGTCAGCACAAAAACACTTCCTCATTAGCAAAGGTGAAATCACCAACACTATCAACAGAAAACTGTCTTTGGGGTATTATTTGGTATCAATATCACAGTATTAACCAACTACATTGAAAAAGCAATAGTGTGGATATGCAGTAACTGGAAAACAGCTGTGGGGTCTCATTCATCCATTGCTGTCCGCTGTCACCACATCCCAGAGGCACTGCTGACACGGCGAGCCACACAGATCTACGGCATTGGTGTGTGTGTGTGCCCCCTCCTCTCCATCTCTGTCTGTGTGTCTGTCTCTCTCTCTGTGTCTCTTCCTGTCTGCATGTTTCTGTCACTTCAACCCCATGTCTCTCTCTGTGTATTTGTGTGTCTCACTGTCTCTATATGTACATATGTCTTTCCCTCTCCCTCTGTGTTTTTCCGTCTCTTCCTGTGTGTATGTGTTTCTGTCTCTCTCTCTGTATGTATTTGTGCATCTCCATCTCTCTGTCTCTCATGGTCTGTATGTTTCTGTCACTCCCCCATCCCAACTCTGTATATTTGTGTGTCTCCATCTCACTGTCTCTGCCTGTCTGTCCGTCCCTCTCTCCCTGCCCCTCTGCGTTTTTCTCTCTCAGGTTTTGCTCCACCCACTTTATCCTGCAGCTCCCAAACAGGGCCCTCATTTGTAGAGTATGTGACCTTAAAGTAAATGGTCTGAGATGACACAACCACACTCCTTCTGCTCTCTGTGAGGAGCAAGCCCTCCCCTTCTGAATCTGCAGAGCTCCTCTGCATAAAGGTGCGGGTGGGATACCGTCATCGATACCGTCGTCTCCTATGGAGAGAATGCACGCATCCTCTGAAAGCCCATTCCCTCGCTGCCATGTTTGGCCCTTTCTACACACTGAGGTGACGCGTGTCTGACATCTGGGTGGATGACGTGCTCCCGTAACAGGTAAACACAGACAGGAAAGCCAAGAAGCAGCGTGAGTGAAGAAGGGCTGAATAGCTAACAATTTTTATTTTTTAAATTTTAAAAATAGTAGAACTTACTCTAAGGATTTTAACAAATTAAGTACAGTGAAAAGAACAGACATCACAGGGGTGGTGTGATACGGGGCAGGGGAGCTGGACCAGCCCCATGCCTCCATGTGATGCCCAACGATAACCAGACACTGGGCTGAGGACAGGGCCGGGACAGGCAGCGAATGAGTCCCTGTCACTGATCAGATCGTCATGAGGTGAGGTAAACTCAATAGCAAGGAGCAGGCAGGACAGACGCTGGGGTCAGGGAGAGAGTCCTGCTGCGCCTCCCCACCGTCCCAGGCCATCTCACGCTAACGTTCTCAACTACCCCCTTAAACAGCCTAATTACGCCATGTGTCCCTGCAAAGGTGTCCCTGCCTCTCAGTGGTACCACTGCCACAGAAGGTCTATTTCTGGCACTCAGAGCCGATCGTTCTAACACATCCTGCTGCTGAGAACTTGCATTTCCACCCGAGACATGCTCAATCAGATCTCCACTGTAGGGCTTGCTGGGGAAGTCGTACACGAGCGGATCCACGTGGACCCGGACGAGTCGCCAGGGAGACCCTGATGGTCACCAAGGATGGGAAGGGCAGGGAGGTAGGGCCCGGGAACTGCAAACAGACACACGTGGACTGGGCGAGGTGAAAGGCTAAAGAAAGTCAGCGGGGATCAGCTTAACACTGAAAACACTCAGGTCTGATTTGGGGTGTCTTCAATGTAGATGCAAATTCTCAGCAGGGGGTGAAACCTGGGGTCCCAGGGCAAAGATCTCGTGAAAGCCATGACCCTATGTGCACAGTCACATGGTGACCAAGCTCAGGGCAGGTCTGCACCTGTACACAAAGTCACACGGTCACATGGTGACCACGTTCAGGACAGGTCTATACCTGTACACAGAGTCACACAGTCACACAGTTACACAGTGACCACACTTAGGGCAGGTCTGCATCTGTACACACAGTCACGGGTCACACCGTGACCACGCTCAGGGCAAATCTGGACACTCACCTGGGCCTGGGTGTGTTCACCTGGAGACGAGGATGGCAGGAGGTTCCGGAGTTCCTGGACGCCCTTTTCTATGAGGGTGCAATCTGCGATACTGTTCCCAACAGAAAAGGAAAACCCATCAAGCGACTGGAACACTTCTTATCAAGGAACATTAATTCTGAGTTCAACGTTAACCATAAACAGAATTCCAGACCTTTTCTGAATGAAGAAAAAGTCTATAAAAAGATACCCAAGAAGAGTGGACAGATGGTGGACACTGTGTTAGAGCAGATGAGGGGATGTGACCAGGTACTACGTGTACAACGACAACGTGGGAACAAGACGTGCACTGCAAGGTGGACTGTTATGTACGGCCGAGTCAGGACTGACTCACAGCTGAGCCTTCAGGGTCTTTCAGAGGCAACGAATTGCACTGGAGGAAATGACATGTCGGTGTCCCCACAGCACACTGCCCCTTGATGCCCCATGTGGTGCCTGTACCCTCTCGGTGCCCCCACCCCGTGCTCTCCAGGTGCATCGAGACCGCTCTAAAGTTACAAACTCCCCTCGGCCCCGAGCCCCCAGGTGGGGGGTCTTACCCACAGAGACGCTCCAGGAGGCGGGTCTGTCGCAGGGCAGCTGTCGTGTCTTGTGGAGCGATGGCCACAAGGTTGTCCAAGAGGCTACACATGGCTGAGAGTAGAGCGGGGGTGACCCAGACACACGGCCGGGGCAGAAGGGCATAAAAGGACGAGTCTCGGGGAGGCCGTGGGGACACAGCTTCATGCTGACCTGTCATTTGAAAAACAGAATCAAAATTACTGCTTGTATTTGCCTTGTGTTTTATGTACGACAGTTGCA